AGGAGCGGGAGGTGCGGGAGGAGCAGGAGGAGCAGGAGGTGCAGGAGGAGCAGGAGGAGCAGGGGGCGCTGGGGGTTCAGGTGGCACTGGAGGCGCTGTTGGCTCACGGGTATACCACCCGTCGTCGGTAAGTCGCCATGGGCGAGCTCTCTTGTTCTTGAAGAGGAAGTGCATCCCGCTGAATTCCGCCATGGCTTCGCCAGCCAGGCGGCCTACACTGGAATCTGAATAAAAGAAATGAAAACGAGGGTGCACAAATGGGCAACGAAGGGGACCCCGTAAGGTTGGCGCCTCGGGGTCCTCGTTAATGACAGGCGGGAAACCCCCACCTACCCCCGTAGAGGACCCTGCGTGGCAGCATAAACGCTACGCTGGCAGGGAATATTCCCCACCCTTCGAGAGGGTTCGGAAGAAATGCACGTGCCACGCAATGCATGCGACTGTGATTGGGCCGCACGGCAACATCCCCGTCACTGCTGTCACGATCGATGGTTCTAGACAAAACTTTGCGGTGGGAACCGAACCGCTGCTGTTTTTGTTTGGAAACCATGCACGATCCCACGTGTTGCATGGTCGGTTGAATTCGCCTTATTGCGGGCTTCAATTTGGTATGTTTAAAAGTGATTTTTTTTTCCTATTACAAGCGCATGCGCTTATACACATGACTCGATTAGAAGCGCACCCCCCTAAAAAACACTGTTTTATTATAAGCGCACCTGCGCTTCTATCCGGGTTAATACGGTACAGTGAAGCAACACACGAGTCAACAAAAGTAACAGCTGGAGGTTACGCGAAGGTCAAAGGTCGCTGACCTTTGACTCGACGAAAAGAACAATGCGACATCAAGGACACATAAGTGACTCGATACTGAGCAGTTACCCGATCGTCACTGTATCGAACCGCAACAGCAAAACAAGTAAAACCTTTCGTATTCCTTTGTAATCATATAAAGCCTTGTTTCTCTTTGCTATTATCAACTTATCTTGTTCTCACATACCGTATGGCCCCGGATATAGGCGCCGTCCGATTAAGAGCGCCGGCGCTTCTATCTGGAGCATGGCGCTTATGGCCGGAACTCGATTATAAGCGCCCCCCCTCTGGAGGGTGTACTTATTATAAGCGCACCCCTTTCACGTTGTGGAGGTTTCATTACGAAATATGAACAATTAACACTAAACATGAACATGATAATTTTTCACCTACAACATACAGTTTTATAGACACTAACACTAACACTAAACTAGAAATTGCTAAGTTTAGCATTTCTACCTAGAAAATCTACTCCTCCTCGTCGGATTCGGGCTCCTGGCAGTTGTTGCCAAAGAAGCCATCGGCGATGATGGAATCATCGACGTCCACCTCCGCGATCAGCTGGCTCCGCCTGTGCGCCATGGCGAGGCCGTCCTCACTGCCGTCAAGCGCGTTGCTCATGCCACAGGTGAGGAAGGCGCGCTTGATGATGTCCGCGGGCACTGCTTTCCAGGCCCGTGAGATCCACCTCACGACCACCTCTGGGGGTGGCTTCTTCAAGTTCCCTGTACCAACAGAATCACACAATATTTAGTTAGCGCAACAAAAGGGGGGACAATCATCTACGGTAAGATAGGGACTTGCGTGCCTATCATACCTGCTCTGGTCAGCTGTTCTTGGCCTTCTTCCTGAAACCACTTCTGATACTGCTGGCGGACGCTCGCCTTAAAGCTCTTGTTGATGCAGACGTCGAGGGGCTGTATCTCCGCCGTGCAGCCAGACGGGATGATCGCCGGCACGCAGTTGAGCTCGCGAAACTTCTCCATCACCCCCTCAGTGAGGTGACCGTGGTACGAGTCCAAAACGACCATCGAGCTCCGCGCATGCCTCCCGAACCCAGGCTTTAAAAAGGGCTTGACGCTCTCCTCAAGCCATCGTATGACGCCTTCCGCGTCTATCCAGCCGTTCTCGTGACACGCCACGACCACATCTGCATAACAACAAAGCTTCTGTAAGTTTCTCGTAAAAAACAGGACCGATGAAAAGCATACAAACAAGAATCATGACTGACCCGGCGGGAACACCCCTTTCGGCACGGTCCTCCGCTTGAAAAAAACCCACGGCTTCAGCTTCATCCCGTCCGCCGTGCACGCCAACATCATGGTCACGCGCTCCTTCTGGTACCCCGTGCTCCTGTTGGGCACCGACCGAACACCGGTTTGATCGACGGTAGTGGTGGCGGGCATCTCCAGCCTCAGCGGCGTCTGGTCGGCGTTGATAATCCACGTCGTCTCGATGCCGCGCTCCCGACGCTTGTCACGGGCGAATTGCCAGAACTTCTTGCACTGCTCCGCGACATCTGCGGTTGAGTACAGTTACGGTTAGTGAGTAACAAGTGCATACACATGGCATAGATAATAAAAATGATTCTTACGGGCGGCGGTTTTCTGGGCGACCTTCGTCTTCATTCGCACGCTGAGATTCCACCGCCGATGGAACCGGTCCGACCACCGTTGGCTCCCTTTCCACTTCACGAGGGGGTAGAGAATCTTCATGAACTCCCGGGACCACTCTTGCAGGCGGCCGACGGACACCGCAGTTCCCTTGCGTCGCCAGTCGAGCAGTCGCTCATACACCTTGATCTCCATCGGGCGGTACCACGACGCCGTGCCGCGACCGTGCATGCGGCACCTGGCAGAGTGGGCTTCCTTGAGGAAATCAGCGGCACGCTTCCAGTTGGCGAGGCACTTGCGATGGATGCCGCTCTCGCGAGCCAGAGCGCGCACCGACACCGCCACATCCAGCTGCGCGACCCACTTCAACTTCTCGGTGGCAGTATAGGTCTGGCGCTTGTGGTTGTCGGGCTTGTGCCTGGGAGAGGGGGGGCGAGAATCACGGTTCTGTGAAGAAGGGTAAGGTCGCTTTCGATTACGTGGAGGATAAGTTGGTATCGGGAGTTTCTCGGGGAGGCCATCGCGTGACCAGTATTCGACGTCGTCGTCGTCGTCACCGCCCAGCGCACCCTCGGGAAACACATCCTCAGCAGTGCCGGCCTCAGTAGCGGCCTCGGTGTCGGCCTCAGTGCCACCCTCGGCGCCGGCGTCGCCCTCAGCACGCCAATCTTCCTCGGCGTCTTGCACGTCGTCGTCAGCGCCGACTGCAGATTCGTCCCACGTGAAATCTTATGGCTGGCCCCAACGTGGTGCTGGCGCTGGAGCGGGTACGTCAACATCGGGGCCCTTGTCATAATCCGGTTCCGACAGATACTCGTCGAACGCCGATGGGAGCAAGAGCGTGAGCACGAGGTGGTTGTCGATGTGAGGGGCCACCGGACACGGAGGAGACGGAGGAACAAGAGGAGCAGGGGGAGTCGGAGGCACTGGAGGAGCCGGAGGAGCAGGCGGCGCAGGAGGCGCAGGAGGCGCAGGTGGCTCTGGAGGGTCTGGAGGTATGCGGCTATACCACCCGTCAGCTGTAACATGGTACGCGGGCCTACTGGAAGGTTTTTTCTTGAAGAGAAAATGAGTGCCTGTGAATTCCGCCATGGCTTCCGCAGCCAGGCGGGCGAGAACAAGAAGACTGAATAAAAAACTGCAACCCTGGGTGTTGAAATGGGAGATTGAAGGGGACCCCTTCTGGTTTGCGGCTCGGGGTCCTCGTCGATGACAGACGAGTACACCCCTGCCCCAACCCGCAGAGGAGGGTTGGGGGCACCATCCATGCTGCGCTGGCACGGCAGATTCCATCACGTTCTGGATGGTTCTGCCGAGATGCTCCTGCCTGGCAGCGCATGCCAACCTGATTGGGCCGCACGGCAGGTTTTGCATCAGCGCTGGCAGGTTTGTTGCACCGGGACGGGTTTTGTGCGGTGGGAAATCGAACCGTGGCAAGTTTCGCTGTCATTCCATGCACAACCCCGTGCGCATGGTACAGTGTTGTATTCGCCTTATTGAGGGCTTCTGAATGATATCCTTTACATTGAAATTCAGTTTTGCCTTTATAAAAGCGCCGGCGCTTATGGCCGTTACTCAATTACAAGCGCCCCCCCTAAAAAAAATGAATTTATTATAAGCGCATATGCGCTACTATCCGGGGTATTACGGTACCAGTACAAGATGGTTCAGCAACTCTGATATTACGCTTCCGCAAACTACAACATTCCTACTCAAGAGATCTTAGCCTTGAAAAGATCCTAAGGGCTAATTCTCAGCCCAACACTAATGACTTAGTAATTTCTCGAAATGTAAAGCTCTAAAATATTTCCCAACACTTTTGAGTCACTCCTCCCAGGATGTACCCTTAGACCCTGTCAGCCTCATCACTTTTTTATTTTGTCTCTGCTAGCCCGAATTCTGTGTTAGGTGGAATGGAGATTCATGCCCTGCAGCAGGCATTCATTAAAGCCCTTGCTGTGTGAACCGTATCCCCCCTCGTCACTCCTGCTCCTCGGACGTGTGCCGGACCACCCAGGGATGGTCTGCATGAGGGACAAAATAGACATGGCAAGGCACGGCATGGCACAGGATGACAAACCCTACATGGACTTATCAGTTGACAGGCCTGCGCCAGTGTGGTAGCATCACATTGTGTTGAGCAGCAGAGCAGAGCTGATGCTCAGGAACACTGCTGTATGAGAGCACTGTGCACTGTGCAAGTATGCTTGCGCACATGTGTGCATGTGCGGATGTATGCTTGTGTGCATGTGTGCATATATGCTTGCGTCCATGTGCATGTGTGCATACGCGCAGGTGTCCATTTTCGAATGTGTGCATGTGCGCATGTGCGCATGTGTGCATGTGTGCATGTGTGGATGGGTTCTTCTTGAGCATGCGCATGATGATGCCATGCTCAGCTCCTCCCCTCGCAAAGACACCCACGCCCTGGACTCACTCATCGCTTGCTCTGCCGTGATGCGGAAGCACTGCTTCTTCTTGACCATGCGCATGATCACCATACCATGCTCACCTCACCTCACCTCCTTCACGTTGCCATGCAAACCACGCATGAGCGATCATGCCCTAGACACTCACTCATCACTTCTTGTGCGGTGATACGCGAGCGAGGGTTCTTCTTGAGCATGCGCATGATGAGCTCCTTGACGTCGTCCGACACGCCCGCCCACTTGAAGTACTTGAAGTCCACCTTCTTGCGCCGTATCGCCTCCTCCAACGTGCGATTCGTCGACGCCCAGAAGGGCGGCACGCCCGACAGGATCACGTAGAGTACCACCCCCGCGCTCCATATGTCCGCCTCCACACCGTATACCGCATCCAGCACCTCTGGTGCCATGTACTCTGGCGTGCCCGCCACCTCGCTGCATGGGCCAGCTATGGAGAGGAAGAGGGAAGGGGGGAAGGGGGAGTGGAGACGGGAGTTGGGACCACCCCCGCGCTCCAGATGTCTGCCTCTGCGCCGTACACGGCGTCCAGCACCTCGGGCGCCATGTACTCTGGCGTGCCTGCTACCTCTGAACACGGGCCCGCTGTGGAATGGGGCGAGGAATGGGGGGGAGGGAGGAGTGGGGTGGAGGGGAAGAAGGACGGATAGGGGGGAGGTGGGAGATGGAGAGGGAGGGGACAGCAGGGAGAGCGTGTTGGGATTCGCTTGACAGTGAGCATGACTCGTGCGCTCCAGATGTGTGCCTCACCACTCTACACCGCGTGCATCACCTCCGCCACCACGTACTCGGACCTGCCCTGCCCGCCAACTCGCCGCATGGGCCGGGTGAAAGTGGGGGGGGTGGGGGGACCTGGGATGGAGAGGGGATTGGGGAGGGGAAGCGGGGAGGGAGAGGCGGAAGTTACCAAAAAGGGCAAGGGCTGGGCCAGCAGGAAGTGTGGATTGAGATGCTCTTGAAAGGACTGATAGCTGCTAGACGCCCTAGAACGAAGCAGATGCATGCTGGGCGGAGGGGTCAGCTGGGCGGAGGGGTCAGCTGGGCGGAGGGGTCAGCTGGGCGGAGGGGTCAGCTGGGCGGAGGGGTCAGCTGATCGGAGAGCAGGCGGCCAGAAAGGTGGGGAAGGAAGGGTGTGGGAAGGGAAACGGGCTTCAAAGAGTGGATATTGGTAGGAGGGAGAAGGGAGAAGGGGGAAGGAAGTAGAGAGAGTTACGGTAAAAGAAGAGAAGAAAGAAGGGAGTGGAAGGAGGAAAGTAGAAGCACTCCAATCCCCACCCGCGCCTCTCCCTTCCCCTCTGTGCCACCCCACCCGCGCCTCTCCCTTCCCCTCCCTGCCACCCCACCCGCGCCTCTCCCTTCCCCTCCCTGCCACCCCACCCGCGCCTCACCTTGGTCGAGACTGGTGGCGACGCCAAAGTCAATGAGCTTGATGCCCTTGCGGTCGTCAGTGCGATCAGCCATGAGGATGTTCTCGGGCTTCACGTCGCGGTGCAGGATGCCGTGCGCGTGGCAGTGCTGCAGCGCGCCCATCAGTGCTCTCAGCACCAGCGCTGCCGTGCGCTCCGACAGCTGCCCGCGCGCCTTGATGCAGTCAAACAGGTCCCCGCCCGCACACAGCTCCATTATCACGCGGATGCTCTGCCCTCACGAGGAGATGCGCGGGGGGAAAAGGGGGGAGGGGAGAGGGGAGGGGAAAGGATGGGAGAGGGAGGGAGGGGAGGGAGGCAGCGGAGGATGAAGGTGCTGGTTAGTGGCGTGGTAGGAGTGCCATCTGACAGCTGCCTGTGGGCTGATGCACTCGCATAGATCGCCGCCCGCACACAACTCCATGAACACCCGAATGCTCTGCCAGCCAGGGGGAGGGGAAGACGTGGGGGGGTTTAAGGTGGGGTGGGCACGAGAGCAAGGGGAAGGGGGGAGTGGGGAGGGTAGGAGGTAGGGGAGGGAGAGAGCGGACGAGTGTTCATCTGCTCGTTCGTGTGGTCACAGCAGTGCTGTCTGGCAGCCGGGCCACGGGTTTTGATGCGCATGAGGAGAACACTGCCCGCACACATCTCCATAATCACCCATATGCCCCATGCCCCCACCCATGCCCCACCATCTCCTCCTCATCACCCATGCCCCACCTGTTCGTCCTCCATGACGCCCTGCAGGTTCACGATGTGCGGGTGGCCCTGCAGCCGCGCCAGGAACGCCACCTCCCTGCGCACGTCCTCCGCGTCCTCCATGCACTGCCACCACGAGGGGGGGCGGTGGGAGAGGGAAAGAGAGGGGAGGGAGGGGAGGGAGGCGAGGGTGGGAAGGGGAGGGAGGGGAGAGGGGCTTGTGTTTGTCGGGCATCCACCACCATCTGCGCTGTGCCCTCTTGGTGTCACTCACCCCTTTCCTTCTAGCATTTCCTCTCGTGACATCTGGTAACGGCTCTGCTCCTACCTTCCCTACTTCCACTCCCCTCAAACAGCAAGCCCAAGCGCAAGGGCAACAGCAGCAGAAGCAGTGCCAGCAGTGCCAGCAGCTCACAGTGATGCTGGACTTGTCGATGGTCTTGCACGCGAACACGCGGCCAGTGGCGCGCTCCAGGCACGTGCGGATGGACCCAAAGCGCCCCGCCCCGATCTCGTGCTTGCCCAGGGAGTAGCGCGCGCGCACGTCCTCGTAGGGCATGCGCAGGATGTGGTCCGTGATGCCCGCCACCTGCCCCATCGGGTCGTCGCGCACCACCACAGCCACACCCTGCTGCTGCTCCACACGCTCCTGGGGAAGGTTGTTTTGCGCGAGGTTGATATGGAGAGGTTTGCTTTGGGGTGGGTGGTGCTGCTGGCCTTCCTGGCCGTGCATTGTGTTTGACTGCTGCTGCTCCATCTGTTGGATCATGTACTTGGGCTGCCGTGCTGCCACCTGCTGCTGCTGCTGTTCCTCCCCCTCGCCACCGCCCAGCTCTGTTGCTCCTGCTGCGGGGGCAGCAGCTGCTGCTGATTCAAGCCAACCTGCCGCACCTCTCTCCTGCCCACTCCCCAGCCTGGACCTCCTATAGCCGTCTTTGCCTCCCACGCCACCAGTAGCACGCGCAGTAGAATTAGCTTCAGAACCAACAGTTGTAAAGGCAGCAGCAGCAGCACTGGCATGCGTGTTAGTGTCAGTGAGAATCTCCCCATCACTGCTATCCCGGCCTCCCTCCTGGCTGCTGAAGCTGCCATCCCCTGATGCCAGCCTGGCAGCGTCTGCCAGGAATGCAGCCAGCCGACCACTCGCACCACTGTCACCACCAGCAGCAGCAGCAGCAGCAGCAGCAGCAGCAGCAGCAGCAGCAGCAGCAGCAGCGGCAGCAGCAGCAGCAGCATGGGGAGAAACGTCAGTGGCAGCAGAGGCAGCACCACCACTGATGCTGTTACCAGTGCCGCTGCCACTGCCACTGCCACTGCCGCTCTGCAGCCTCCTCCGCCTCATCTGCTGCAGCAGCTGCTGGTGCTCACTCGCCTCCTGCTCCTGCCGCTGCTCCAGCCTATACTTTTCCTGCTGCCCGTATTCTCGTTCCTGCTCACGACCCTCGTCCCCATACCCATACCCCAACCCATCCCCCATGGCTCGCAGCCCCACCTCACACGCACTGGCCTGCCTCCGCCCCCTTCCCCCCCTCGTGGCTGCCCCTCCCGCCTCCGCTCCGCCTACCCCACCCCCTCGCCTCTCGCCCACCTGCCCCTCCGCTCTCACGCCCATCTCCTCCCTGGCCCAGCTGCTGCCACCACTGCTACCGCCCTGTCCTGCTCTATCCATTCCCACCGCCCCTCCTCTCCCTCCTTCCTCTGCTCTCCTCCCAACCAGCGCTCCTCCTCCTCCCCCTACCCCTCCTTTCCCTCCTGCCTCACCTTCCCCCCTTCCCGCCCCCATCCCTCCTGCTTGCCCCACAACCCCCCCCGCGCCCACCCCTCCCCCAGCGGTCATGCCGCCAGCGAGAGCATGGTGCAGGAGGTGGCGGGGCACATCCTCAAAGCCCAGGTAGAAATCCACCGCCGACGGGCCTGCTGCTGCCGTGTGCACCGCAGCCGCCTTGGCACGCCGCTGCTCCCGTGACGCTCGAATCATCTCGTCCACACTCACCATCCGCCTGTGCTGCTGACTCGTCTCGCCCTGCCCCCCCGCCCCGTCCCCACGGTTGGGCACTGCCCCCGCTGCTGCCCCACCGCCCCTCGCAGCACCAACACCAGCAGCAACATCCCCAGCAAAATCCCCAGCAGCATCAGCAGCAGGAGAGACAGCAGGGTGGTGAGCACCAGGATGGGGGGCAGCGGCGGCGGTTGGGCCAGCAGCGGCCATGCCAGCGGCGGCCATGCCAGCGGCAGCCATGGCATCGCGGTACCGCACTGCCTGCAGCCGCTCTGCCCTCTTCTTCCTCCGCGCCGCCCCATCCACCACACTCATGCCTCCCGCCCCACCCACTCCTCCCACTGCCCCTTCTCCATCCCCTGCCCCTGCCCCTTCCTCTCCCCCTGCTCCTTCCCCTTCCCGAGCCCCCCCCCCTGCCCCTGCTCTCCCTCGCCCTACCTGACCAGCAATAGCGCTGCTGCTGGAAGCAGCAAGGGGAGACCCAGACGCGTGCTCCGGGTGGCCAGCCCCCCTGCCCCTCTCCTGCGCGCTGTGGCCCCCCTGCCTCTGCTCCCCGAACGACCCCATGTCGCCAGGCGCAGTGCGCTCCGCGCTGGACGCGCGCTGGCTGCTGCATGCGCGCTCGCCCAGCGAGCTCTGGTCGCTGTACGACCCGTTCCTCCTCTCCCACTCCTCCTGCTGCTGCTGCCGCCGCCGCTGCTGCTGCTGGTGTGCCTGGTGCTGCTGGTACTGCCCCTGCTGCTGCTGCCCCTGCTGCACCTGATGCACCTGCTGCCCCTGCTGCCCCTGCTGCCCCTGCTGCCCCTGCTGTCGGTACTCTTCTTCCTCGCTCCCATACGCACCATCTACTCCTCTCCTCGGCTCCACAAGCTCCTGTGCTTCCCTCTCCTTCTGTCTGTACGAATTAGCCTGCCACGCCTGCCGCTCAGGCTCGGACCCGCCACGCATCTGCCGCCGAGGCTCCCTCGCAGGCTCGGACCCACCTCTTCCCTGCTGCCGAACCTGCCGGTCCGGCTCGGCGTCACCGCGCCACGGCTTGAGAGTGGCTTCGGACTCCCACACGCCCTCGTGCTGGCAGTCCACAACGAGGTCCCTGGCGGCCTGCAGCACGCTGTGAATGGCGTCCTGGTTGCGTTCGTACCCCTCAAACGCCACAAAGTCCTCGTGCGTTAGGCTCGCCAGGGGGGACGTCGGCGGGGTCGTTCGAACGCCACCGCCGCCACCGCCGCCACAACCGCCGCCCCTGCCGCCGCCGCCGCCGCCGCCGCCTCCCCTTCCTACCACAGCCCCCCGCCCTCCCCCCCGACCGCCTGCCAGGCGCCTACCGCTGGCATCTCCCCCAGGAAAGCCGTCCCTGGAAGGCCTCTCCCCAATTGGCCCATCCACAGGGGAGGTAGTCCGTGCTCCTGCTGCTGCTGCCCGCATCCCTTGCCCAGGCGCACCCATTGCGCGCCCCTCCACCCCCCCCTGCCCCGTTTGCCTCTCCCCTGCGCCTTCCCTCGACCACTCCGCGGGGGACGGGCCTGCACCCGGTAACTCCTTACCGCTTCCACCCGCACCGCCACTCCCACCACCGCCTCCGCCGCCGCCTCCTGCTCCTCCTCTTCCTAATCCGTCGCCCCTGCCGAGACCGCTGCTGCCACTCGAGGGATGTCGAGCCCCAGCATCCACCTGGTTACCACCGCCGGCGAAACTGGCGACGTGGGTGCCATCCGCGAGGTCGTCTGACGTCGCGAACTGCTGCGAATCGTACGAAATCGGCCTGCGAAGATCCCTGCTAGGAGGGCCCACGGGACCCCCGCGACCTGGCCCCGGCGCGCGGGGAGGCACGCGGGAGGCGGAGGTTATCTCGCCCATGTTCCCCACGCTGTGGCTCGAAACCCTAACTCGCCGTCCCGCCATGCCGCCTTCCGTCTGCGGCGCATACGCTTCACTATTCTGCTGGGAATAATTTACCTTCGACGGCTCCCGGTAATCCGCCTCTAGTACCTGTTCTTCCGAGTGGGATGTTCGACGCCCCGCGCCGCGCGTAGCGACGTCAGGCGAGGAGGAGAGGGAGGAGGAGAAGCTTGGCAGGTTGCTGTGGCTCCGGCTGTGCCTGTCGGACGACTCCTGACGAAGCCGCATCGCGGCTGACGGCGGACGGCCGAAATTGTCGGCGGACTGCTGTCGGCCGTGACGTGGCCGGTAGAGGCTCGGAAACGGCAAGCCTCCATGCTGCTGCGTCGCGGCGCCACGTGGCGGTGTCGTTCCAGCAGCGGTGGTTTGTTCGGGACGGGCGATGTAAGTTTCTCGTTCGAAAGGCTCGTTCTCAAGCGATTGCGGCTGCTGCTGCTGGTGCGACGGGAGTTGGCGTTGGCGTGGGCGTGGATCAGCGCGTGGCTCATACTGCCGTTGCTGCTCCTCCTGCTGTCGCCGCTGCGGCCGTACGTGCTGCAGCTGCTGCTGCTGCTGCTGTTGCTCGTAATAGTAGCGCTGCTCTTCGTCGTGCGGGTTATCCTGCTGGTATTGCTGGTACTCGCCGCTACGCGGCTCCCTCTCATCGCGATAGCCTCCCCCATACTGCGTCATCGCATCATGCTGAGGCTCCTGCACCTGCCGCTGCTCCTGTTCATGCCGCCATTGCTCTACGGGAATTAGCAAGCTTCCGGCCGACGCGCCTCGCCGGTGCTGACCTTTGCGGAGCCCCGTCGATGGGCGCGTCTGTGGCTGCGTAGCGTACGGCTTCGATTCATAAGGTTGTTGATCGTAAGGTGAGGGGCCAGACGCGGCGTTGGACGACATCCTTCCTGACCGTTGATTTGAGGGGATCTCGTAGCAATCGCGGAACACGTCTGCGGTGCTCATGCTTCGCGATTGAAGCCTGTGATGCGTCTAGAAGGCATTGGTTTCGCGATTATTAAAAAAATAGTCGTAATAGATGACTATAACTTACCTCTCGCGAACATAAATCGCAACTCGACAAAACTATGCGCCAGCCATCTTTATTCCAAGCCAAGTCCTGGAGGATTGCACTAAGATTCTAGGCAGACTTACACAGTGTGTATGTACAATTTGGCTCCTGGCAGGGGAAGAGGGAGAGTGTGAGGCTGAGTCGAGTGGTTTTGCTGGTGGGTGTGGTGGTTGGCGGAAGACGCACATCACACCCCATCCAATCAAAACCAAACCAGGCGGCCTCGTCGACGGTCGCACAACTCGCTTCCAAAACTCAACTCAATCCCTGTTTTGTCTAAGGGCGCTTCACCTCAGACGTTCGAGCGGGCAATTGGAACAGCCACCGTAGTGAGACGAAATCGTAACGAACAGCCCGAGGTGACGCGGCCTAAAAGACTCGACAGACACCCCACTCGTCCACTTCCTATTTTCAAGGCAGACAAACTACACAACAGTAATCCATCAACGTTCCGTCTTTCTCATCCTTCCATCTGCTCCTCCATTCCTCCCTCCTATGGGCAGGTGCCCACGGGGCTCGTTTGGACAGAAGACGAGGCCGCGGTGGGATTGGGGTACTCTGACCTTGGGATTGTCCATCAGGGCTTGTTGCAAACAGAAGGATGTCCGTCCGATATGTACCTTATGTGAACGCAACCCCATGAATTAGATCAACTGGAGCTGCGGATGGCCCAGATCCAACACCCCACCATCGACCCCTGCCAACAACCCACGTGCCAACAGTGTACACCCCTTGGGTGGCTGGCTGGCTCTTTCTATAAATGATAATTGATGAAGTATACACCTAAAGAGCAAGCATATACTATGAAAAAACGTCGTAACTGTGCTTGAGGAACAGAAGACATGATTCTTGTTGGAAACAAGTAATTTAACGCTTCTGAAGTATCGAAACAATAACACGAAACGGAGCAGACTACAGCGAAACAACACGCGAGTCAACAAAGGTAACAGCTGGAGGTTACGCGAAGGTCAAAGGTCGCTGACCTTTGACTCGACAAAAAATACAGCGCGACAGCAAGGACAAATAACTGACTCGATATTGAGCAGTTACCCGAGTCGCCACTGTATCGAACCGCAACAGCAAAAACAGTTAAAGTCGCATCTCTTCGTATTCCTTGTAATCATATATACCGTATTATTGTATCTCTTTGCTTTAATCAACGCATCTTGCTCTCACATACTAGTGCAAGGAGGTTCAGTAAATTTTATTATTACGCTTCCGCAACTACAACATTCCTACTCAAGAGGTCTTAGCCTTGAAAAAGATCCTAAGGGCTTTTCTCAACCCAACATGGTATGAGAGCCTCCAAGGCAAGATAAACTACTAAAACTTCTACAACAACACAAGACATGGCAACTCAGAAGGATCTCCCAGCACTACTCCTACTCCACCTCCAGCCTCTGGCCTACAGACAGAGGAAGGTACAGCAACAAGACCAGCTGCGGAGTCTACCGAAACTCCCAGGAATCAAGCAGCAGGCTTCGACCCAAGCATGATGGAGAAATTTTTCTCCTTCATGTCCTTCTACGAGCAACACCAGCAAGCAGCTCCTGCGCAATCAAACAACAGCGACAACAACAACAGGGTGACTCCAATGAGCCTTGACGGTTCATCCTATGCGCGCGGAAACCAACAACAACCTACCTTTGCTTCGTATGAACCTCAACGTGGCTCCATCAGCTTCACGCCACACCAACAGCCTTCACCTGGACAAGAGAAGGCACTAGATGCGCTCCAGGTTCAATCACAGTTCGCACATGTTTTAAAATTGTAGACATCGACACCCTTCGACGGAAAATACTTCTATACATGGTCATTCGAGTTCGAGCTGATGATGGAGGGCGCGCAAATTCTTGGATTCTTCGACGGGTCCCTGCCATACCCAACACATGGGACACAATACGACAAGCAGCAATACACATATCAATAACTGATGGCGTATACGATACTTCTGCGAAATTATCTCCAAACGAGCAGCAGAACATCCGGTCTTATCGAGGATACGACAATTCCGCCGAGCTGGCGTACGACCACCTGAAGAACCTGTATCAAGCAATAGACACCGTTAATCAAAGTCGTCTCATGGCACAGTTGACAACGGTAGAAATGAAACCCGGCGAAAAGGGAATGGCGTATATCAGCCGTTGTCGTGGACTGCGCGACAGACTCCTTCGATGCGGAGGATCGATATCCGAAGAAGCCTTCGTAATAGTTATAATTGCTGGCCTCGGTCCTCATTGGTGCTCCACTCGAGCACTCCTCCGAGCTCACGGGAAGATCTCCGAAGCAGCACTCTGCGCCGAAATTCACGCTGAACAGTAGGATATGGACCTACACGAAGAACGACACAAGAAGAGAGCGTCAGCACCGGAGTTCGCGTTTCACACTCAACGGTGTTACAACAACCACAACAATCGACAAAACAACTGTCAAGTTCAACAGTACGTCCCACCATTCTGTCACCTCTGCAAGACGTCAGGACATCCTCGTACACACTGCCCGAATCAGCAGCAGACGACGTCGTCGCAGTGTCAACTTCGGCCCTCAAGCAGTCAAGTGGCTTCTACACAGGCGCATCCAACCAATCAAGTACAGTCCTCAACGTCTTCAACGACAAAACCCGCACAAGGAACAAGAAACATCGTGAGCTGAATGACAAGAACAACAGACTCCTGCATCACCGGATCACCTCCGTTCTACTCACCAGAAGAACAGCTCGACGAGAGCACTCCTCGCCGCGAATCACTAGAGCCCAACCCGACGTATGCAGCCATCGCCTAGAGCGAGCCGTCCGGGAAAGACACCTGGTTCTTGGACAGCTGCTGCGGACAGCACATGTGCTCCTTGGGTCGCTTCGTTCAACAGGAACACCAACTTCAATGCGAAGTCGTAACCACCGTCGCCAACAACCAGAACCTGCACACACGACGACAAGGGATCGTTCAACTTCAATCTCGAGAAACCAACGTTATTCTACAAATGTCGAAGGTCTTAATCGCAGAAGGACTCGGCTACAACTTACTCTGCGTCAGTCAATTAATGGCGAAGGGCATTCATCTCGAAGCAGATAGCACCACTCAGGAGTTCAAGTTATACTACGGAAAGGGCGGACTCTACATTGGCAAGGCGGTCTTGAAGAATAACGTCTTCGTTCTTGACTTCGTTCCGGACTAAGGCACCGCCGACAGCGACGCCATCGTCAACTTCGCCTCTTGGACACACCCACCAGATCTCGACCCCGACTTCAGTCCTGGAGGATTCTAGTACTCACACACCATACCTGAAGCAGAAAGAATACGAGTGTTAGCAACAATTCGGCAAGCAAAGATAACATCGGCAGCAGCAGACAACATCGGCAGCAGCACAGACAACATCAGCAACAACAACATCGGTAGCAGAAACTACGACACCAATCGCGTGTTCTTCGACGGCATCAGCTCTCATCGACGATACTCCACCGACTCCTGCGTGTCAGATATATATGCCTTAGCACATGTAGGCTGTAGTGGGGTAGACTCTAAGGGGTACAGGTTTCTTATTTGTACCAAACTCATTCATAGTTCATTCATTCCTGTTTTCTTTCTTCACATGGTATAGAGCGGGTTCCTACATGGGACCGTTCCTTCCTAAGGGCCCACCATAACGATTTTTTTTTTTTAGCTGCCCGACGCGCGTTGCGCCCCTGCCCTAAATTTTTTTTTTTTAGCGGCCCCCCTAGCGGCCCCTACGCGACCCCTACGCGGCCCCTACGCTGCCCCTACGCGGCCCCTACCCGGCCCCTACGTCGCCCCTGACGCGGCCCCTACGCGGCCCCTGACGCGGCCCCTACGCCGCCCCTGACGCGGCCCCTGACGCGGCCCCTGACGCGGCCCCTGAAGCGGCCCCTGACGCTGCCCCTGACGCGGCCCCTGACGCGGCCCCTGACGCGGCCCCTCCGCCGCCACTACCG